CTGAAAAGGGACATATGAACTACTGTTATATCTACAATAAATTAGATATTTTTATATCTATAGTAAACTAGACAACATACTCTTGCATTAAGCATGTTTAATTAATGCAGGCCCGTAGAGAGAAGAGGCACCACATGTAGCTTTTGCTCAAACATCAAGGACAGAAGGCATTCAAAGAGGGTATTGTTGTGACACACACATTGGTAAAAGGTCTAAACAGCTGGGAGCCTAGCATGGATCAGAGAAGAGTTATAAAACAGAGACACATGATGGTGCAGCTGCTTCCAAACTATGCTATTAAGATGTAGCTGAGAAAGAAGGGGGAGCACTGTAATTGCTGGGACTGTCTGGGGTGCTGACAGCTAAATCTATATTAATGCAGGGCCCAGTAAGGTACTGTACAATAAAAACTGTACAAACCCACAAAAATGATTCCACAATGCAAAGTGCACCTTTTAATATTCTTGAACTCAGTTGTGTGTGTGATACATTTTATTTTTCAGTAAACTGAACTGTTTTGTCTTTCAAGATGCATAGCTAGATTCTTCTACCACTGCACTAAAAATAATCTTGTCATGAGAAGAACCAACAATACTAGAGCATATACAAAACTATGGATCTCCACGCCATACAGCATAGCATGCCACTTAGACCCAATCTGGCCCAGCAAACGAGTAAGAATCAGAAAGCCAATAAACAGGGTGTAATTAGAATTACTATAAAATTTCACACACAGTAAACCATGAAGTGAATTCATAAACTCTTCTTTAAGTAAATATATGAGAAATATTTTGGACATCCAGAAAGAGTTTCAATAAGGCTTCTTAGGGTTTCTACACACACACACATACTCACATATGTATGTTATTTTACAAGGAGCCCTCTGTATCTGAAGATTGCTTCTGATTTCAGATTCTTGGTTCTCGTGGCATGGTAAGAATGGCTTAAGTGATGGAAACACACAATAGCTCAAGACATAATCACTGATTCTAATAAAATCAACTATATTAGCCACATGCAGTGCAATCCTATATTCTTCTACTCAGAAGTAAACGATGCTGCATCAGTAAGGATTTCATTAGGAAAGAGTGAAATTAAGACTGAAAACAGCAGCAGCAGAAAATAATGAAAATAATTTGATTTACTTGTACTGTACTTCATCTATCTCCATGTTCTCTCTCTCTCTCTCTCTCTCTCTCTCTCTCAAGAAAGAAAGAAAGAAAGAAAGAAAGAAAGAAAGAAAGAAAGAAAGAAAGAAAACCAAAGGAAGTATATACATCAGTGGGATAGTCAAAGAAAAATTAGATTTCCATGGTAACAAGCTACAGCCTCGGTAACAAAAGCCCTGTTAACAGTTGTGAGGCAGTGGCTGATACAGATTTTAGCATCATATGGTTCTAAATGTAAGCACTTTGCCTTCTGGAAAACAACAGGTTAGATTATCAGGTATTGGCTCTACAAACCTTAAAAATAAACACTAAATTCTGAATATCTGACTCACAATTTGAACTAAACACACACATACACAGTCTAGTAAATTAAAACACAGATAACTTAAGATTTTTGTAATTAGAACTTAAAGGATACAGCCAGCTAATAACACTTGCCCTTTATACAACTTGTTTCAAACATTTTAAGTACATATACCTTTGGGAAGGTTCAGAAATAAACTATAGTTTGGCATTACATGAATGATTCTCAGGCTCAAGCTATCTTTTCTCATTTCCATTTAAGTATTCTGATTAACTTATTTCTATATAGCACAAACGATTACATCTGTTTATCAGAGTTTCTAATCATGATTCAGAGGACAACTGTAAACTACTGTTTGCCAGTTTAGTTATTCATGGAAACTATGCTTTTAAGTCAAACAGGAAGTTCTTCAGAGCACATGATTCTATGCAAGTCCAAGGTCCATCCAACCAATTTCTCTTACAAGCATCCGATGAAGTAGGAAAGTATTACCACCCTCATATAGCTAATGGCAAGGGCTAATGCTGGGAGAATAGCAGCTTGCTTGAAATCATCTCATAACAAGTTCACGAGTTAGGCAAGAATTTCATGGTCTCAGCCAGGAACCTGCGTGTCCACTAAAAGTCAAGGAATGACAGACATGGAAATATTTCACAAGTTAGCTATAGAAGAAGAAAGAATGACATGGCAGATTTTCATTTGCTTCATTGGTCAATTCTAGTCAACTTTTAAGTTACTGTACTTAATAACATATACTGTACATAGGTGACAAAGATAACGAAGTTATATTCCAAGATGTCCAAAATTACTTAAAATGTTTCCAAGGTCACAAGAAGTTTATTTTCCAAACCAGAAACATGAAACACCTATTTGAGCCAAACAGATTAAGCTATGGATTGATTTCAACCAAAGTATCTCTGAAACAATTATTCTACCTTTGCCATTTCAGTTCCAAGTTAATCAGTGACAGAGGAATAAGCACTGTGGAAATTAAAACAGAAGTACAATACATAATATACTCTTGTTTTACTTCACAGGATGTTTCCTACTGGATTGGTTTTTGTTTGTTAGTTTTGCACAAAAGTTAGTAAATATCACCCAACTGATACACATAGTGCATACTCCTTGCCACTTGAGAGAAAGTTGTGTATAAATGCATCCAAGCTTTGCAACAAACATTTATACTACATACGGTCTCCCACACCCTTTCACATGTGGGGCAGCTGACACTATAAAAGGTGAACCTAAACATCTGATCATCACCTTCACAAAATGAACACCCACACATCATGATGACGAAACACTTAAAAGCCCATTAGTGGTCCTAAAAGCTATAAGCAATTCCCCTCCCCCATTCAGTACTATGAGAGACTGTTATTTTCACTGAACCAATTTTTTAAAAAAATCTCCGTATGTAGAATTGGTAACTTGGAATGTTCTGCTACTCAATACAGTGGTGTCTCGACTTACATACAGTGGGGTCTCTACTTAAGAACTTAATCCGTATTGGAAGGTAGTTCTCAAGTTGAAAAGTTCTTATGTTGAATCTGCATTTCCCATAGGAATGCATTGAAAACCATTTAATCCGTATCTGCTCTTTTCCATCCATAGAAACTTCAGTGGAACCTCTACTTAAGAAATTAATCCGTTTTGGAATGGTGTTCTTAAGCTGAAACTTTCTTAAGTAGAAGCAAAATTGCCCATAGGAATGGACTGAAAACCAATTAATCCGTTCTGGCTGTTTTTTTGTTATATAGAGGTGTGTTCGTACATTGAAGCATTAGTTCCCATAGGTGAACTCTACCACTAGGGGGAGAAATTTTTTTAACCTAAGATGACCTAAGGTTAAAAAAAGAGCAGGAAAGGTTTTTTTTCCTGTTCTTATCTTGGATTTCTGTTCTCAAGTAGAAGCAAAATTTAGCAAATGGAGCTGTTCTTAAGTTGGATTGTTCTTAAGTAGGGACGTTCTTAAGTAGAGACCCCACTGTACTTAATTGGTTCCAGAACTCCGATCGTAACTCGAAATGGTCGTAAGTCTAAGCACCATTTTCCATAGGAACACATTAAAATGCAATTAATCCTTCGTGCCGAAGGAAAAAAAAATCACACAAAAAACCCCACTACAAGACCCATCAGAAATGCAATTAATCTTTTCTGGCTGAAGGGAAAAAAAGAAAAAAGAAAAGCAAACAAACCGTGCAAGACCCTTCAGAAATGCAAGAAAAGCAAAGCAGAAAGCAAATAAACCGTGCAAGACCCATCGGAAATGGGGGGGGGGAATCCCAAAAAACAAACCCCCCAAGACCCATCACAGCATAGAAACATAATCCCACCACCCAGCCCAAACCCATGCTGCAAAACCTATCCAGAACATTTTTTAAAAAGCAGAAAGCAGCACTTTACCCTATCCAGCAGTCCCAAGCCTCCACTGATCGCATTCTAATCATTGGGGCAAAAGAGCTACAAAACAGCAGCTTCTTTGCTTACCAACGGTTAGCAATTTGAATTCCCCGCCTTTTTTCCCTGCCTTTTTTGGGGGGGTTTTACTGGAAGCTCCGGCTGCAAGTCGAAGCAAAATTTTGCAGCCGGAGCTGGTCGTAACTCAAAAATGGTTGTATGTTGGGACGTTCATAACTCGAGGCACCACTGTATATTCAAAGTCTGCCTTTTTTGTTTCCTGGGCACCAATAACAGAATGTTTTGCATAAAACTTTTTCCATCCAAAAATGTTGTTTCTGATTACTTGTATATAGCAATGCAATTATCTGGCTACGTACACTACGCACTTAACAGGGTTGTATGGAACATTAGCCTGGCAGAAAAAAAGTTACAAATATGGGCATTGTTCCACTGGTGGTTGCAAAGCTGCTAGCAGGACAACTGGCCATAACTAGTGGAGGTGAAATTAAGTTTTAATGAGTTGTGCAACACATTGCACAAGCAGAATCCAAATACTAGGCTTGACACTAGTGCAAGGATGAAAAGCCTTGGGATGCCACAATTACATTAGATACAACCCATAATATGCGAAGGAACCTTTCTGAATCACTTCCCTGTCTTTCATTCCTTATAGAATGGAGCCCAGGTTGATAAGTTGAGCAAACACATATATGACTCCAGCAGTAAGAACAGTCCTAACCAGATAGAAATCCAGGCTTGCTTGCTCTCCCCTAGTCTTCTTAGATGAGTGCATTAAACGCGAATCCTCAATTCATCAGGCTCATGTCCCACTAACACCTGATAACTTGTTCACATTTACCTTTCCTTATGTTAAGAAAAATTAACATTCTTCAATGACAAAAGCGGATCAAAGGAAGAACAATTCTTTAAAAAATGGTCAACAACAAAAAACCAGTGGTGACTCACTTCTCTGCATCTCAGAGCATTTGTAAGCCGTTCTCTCACAATATTACAAAGTATCTGCACAACTCCCAGGAAAGTGGCATTCCAATTTTCCAAACCAAACCAAGTCCACCTTGCTCTTAACAGCCAAAATTTTCCCACACATCCCAAAACCTCATCCTTACCTGTTTCAGCAGAAATCTATCTTCTGCATTGATTTTGAGAGAAATGGCAAGGTGGATAGCAGACAGCACCACGCCACTGATGACTGCAGCCCTCATCCTAACCGGCAGCAAGGTATAGATGCTGTAGATGAAAAAGATTGTCCACCAAATGCCCTCAGAGGCACTCCTGGGTTGCATCAGCAAGCAGCCAACCACTTGTACAGCCAACACCACCAGAATAACAGAGTAGCACATGAGCCACATGTGGTCCTGGTGGAAATCGTTGCGATTGCAGACGACACCCAGGGCCACCATCAGCAGGATGGCCAGGGCCAGCACCACCACATAGGGCACCTGATAGTAACCATGAACAGTGTGGAAAATCAGCATGACCAGACAGACCAAGACTAACACCGCCATCAACATAGTTAGGCTGCTCTGGTTGAGACGGAAAAAATAGCGCTGGTAGAGGTGCTCCAGCTTCTCTGACTGGAACTTCTTCGACCTGAAGATCTGTAGGAGGCTGCCACAACAGCTGCCTATGGAAAATACCATCTCAGACCCCCTGTCATCATCCAGATGTTCTTCCCCCTCCTCCAGCTCATCGATCTTGGCCTTGATCCGCTTCTCTTCTAGCCCCAGTTCCACGGAGCGCGGACGCACCTCACCCTGCTCCGTGCCGTAGCGCCTAGGACTTGTGGCCAGTGAGGTATCTCCCGCCCGGTGGGAGTGCTGGCTCTTGTCACCCCCATAATCCTGCCAGGCAGACTTTGACCTGAAGCTCATCATCCTGCAGCCACTCACCCCGTGGTAACTGCTGCTTGGCAGCTGATACTCTTCCTCACTTCTCCACCAGCTCGCCATACAGGAAGATTTCTTGATTGAGGCCCTTGTATGAAGAGGGTAAGAATAGCCATTGGCTCTGGATTCTCCCCAGGCAGAGCGATGCTGTTCTGCACCTCCACCCCTGGGCACAGGAGGGGCTCCGAACCCCGGAGGGCTTACACTGTTGGAGCGGGACATGCCCTGTGGGGGCAGAAAAGAAGAGGGAGGAGGGATTGAGGGAGAGGTTCTTAAGGAGTGGGAGGGAATCAGCCACAGGAATTCCCACTCATAGCAAGAGGGAAACCAACTCCTCTGAGCAGCATCTTTCAACCCTCTGGCTGGGGAAGCGCAGCGAAGATATTAAAATGCAAGAACTTCGGGCAAGTCAGTCCCGGCCGAGTCCAAGCAAAACAAAGTTCCCAGTGATAAAAGAATTCAAACCTTTCCAAGAAAACTGCTGAACAGCCAGCCAGTTGGGTCCTTTTCTCTCCAGACACCAGGAGAAGAGTCCAGGCTTCCTTCATCCGCAAATTAAATCACTCAAGATGGAGTTGGGAAGCAATTTCCCCTCCTGGTGGAAGGTTGCCTCTCTGGTGAGGATGCCCATGCTGTCATTTTCCCTCCCAAGTCCCCAGTGCTTGGGCCATTTGTTCCCACTTCAGCAATGCAGAAGCACAGCACTGGCACAGAAAAACGGAGGCGGAAAAGGCACCTGGGTTATTCTTTGTTCCCCCCACCCCACCCTTCCCGCCCATCAAACCAAGATCCTCATCGAGTCAGCCTGCAACTTCGTGAGCCATCCTGGACAAAAAAAAACCCAGAGTGCACACACGCACACACGTGTCAGTTCGATCCTCCCACCGGGGAGGGGGGGGAAGGGGGAAAAAAAGGTAAAGAAGTCCTGGTCTTCAGAAAGGTCCTAAAGAAACGGCACCCTCCAGTCTGTGGCTGGGCTCTCCAGGAAGCGGCGCGAAACCACCCAGAACCGTCATTCTGAAAGCTTGCCCTCGGGCACCGAGGCCGATCCGGTCGGTCATCTGAAGAGATGTTGCAGAGGACAAGCGGGGCGGCGGCGGCGGCGGCGGCGCTGGAGACGCCTGGGAGCCGGCTGGGTCATTCTTGTCCGATCCCTCCGCCTTTCGTGAAGGTGCCCGGGCTACGGACCGCTCCGAAGATCCGCCTCTGCTCTCGCGGCTCTCCCTTCTCCAGCCGAGCACGACGACGCCGCTGCTGCTGCTGCTGCTGCTGCGACGGGGGCGAGGAAGCCAACCGTGCCCCCCTCCGCCTCCGCCTCCCACCGAAGCCTCGGCTTGCTAAAGGCATTTATTGGGCGCCCTCGCGACCGTCGGCAGCCCCCAGGAGGAGCGCGCGGCCGAGCGAGCCTCTCCGGCTGCTCCGAGCGGCGGCCAAACGGGTGGGCGGCCGGAGGCTGACGGGGGGGCAAGAAGGCGGCTGCTGCTGCTGCTGCTGTTGCCGCCGCCGCCGTTTGCCCTTGGGAGGGAACATTGAAGGAGCCGTAAATCAAAAGCAGCGGGAGCGATTCAAACGAAGGGCAGCGCGGAAAGAGGGAGAAAGGAAGCCAACGCGGGGAGCCTGAGGGCGGCTGAGGCGAGCGAGAGGAGGCGGCACACACAGAGAGAGCAGGGTGCCCGCGCCTCGACCTTCCCTCCAGCCAGCCGAGATCCACGGAGCGAGGAGTGCTTCGTCCCCCCCTCAAAGAAAAAACTCGAACGATGCGCCGCTGCCTGCGTGGGAGAACGCGCGGTCTCCCAATCTCTCTCTCTCTTTCTCTCTCTCTCTCTCCACTGCAGGGAGCAGCACCAGCGACCACAACCAGCGCCAGGGGCGGCGGGCTCGTCTGCGGAAGCAAGCGATGCAGGCGAGGAATACAATTACATGATTCCCCCCCCCCACACACACCGCTCTTTTTTAGGCTGGGCTGGCTTTTCTCTCTCGTTGCTTTTTTCTGTTTTTAAACAAATTCCCCCCCGAAGGACGCCTCTGTGCTGCTTATCCACAGCCTCCTCCCATGCCTGCTGCTCGGGGTTTGTGTATCACGGCGTGCGCTGCGGCGCGCTAGGGGGCCGTGGGGGGAGGGAGGGAGGAAACACCTTGCCTTTCCCCTCCAGGCAGGCAGGCAGGCGAGCTGTCCTCCTCGCCCTGCAAAGAGCAACGGTCCCGGCTCCACTTTGGTGGAAGACGGCACGACCCGGCTTCCCTCACCAGAGCAAAAGCAGCAGCAGCAGCAGCAGCATCCGCGGTCGCCTCCTCTGGCCCCGCGCGCCCCGGCGCGCTCCCTCACACGCTCTTGTTGCGGCGAGGCGCGAGCAATTCGCCCCTTTCCAAACCGGCCTCTTTGTACGGCCTCTCGGTCTGGCCCGGTCGGAATCCGCCCCACGCTCGCTGCTATTGGTTGACTGTAAGGCGCCGATTTATACCATTGGGCCCTTCGGGGAGCCGATCAGCTGAATCTCTTTCGTTTCCAATAGACGGCCCGGTTAGGAGGCAAGAGGCGGGGAATGGGGAAGCTGGGCAGCAGCTGGGCATCTGCAGTAAATAAATAAAGCGGGGGGCGGGGGCGGCGGCGGTTTGTTGTATTTTAACTATCTCGGGGGGAATCACTGTCGCCCATCCTGTGAGGAGAGAGACACAGTTCATGCGTGCATATTTGTTTGTTAAAAACCATTAGGTTTTTATCCTCCATCAACGTCGTCATTGGTAGCACAGTGCAAGGAGGCTTCTGCTAAATAGAACTGAAGCGGCTTAAAGATGCAGCAGAATTCTTTGTTTGCTGCCTCTGAACTGTCCCTGCAGCCCCCGTTTTGGAACTTGCTTGGGACGGAGGTAACCGGCCCGTACAGCTAGCCATGATTTCTGAAATTAGTGTGTTTTGCTTTTCTCTCCCCCCACCCCAGCTCTATAAAGCCCAGGGTGTTGAAAGACTTCTGTAAGAGTCCGAAGCTACCGTAGCTTCTCCTTGTGATGGTTCAGTGGTCTAATAAAGTCCTAAAGCAATGGCTGGTGATACTATTTTAGACTTGTTTTTTAAAAAATCGGAAACATAAACTAAATTTTTACCCCATACAACAGGTGTGATTTTTTTTAGTGCTCTAATAAAATCCATGCTTTATAGACTACAGCAAAGCCTTTGGCAGTGTCAGACATTAGAAACTATGAGTTCTTCTGAAATAAGGGTGCACACCTCTGCAGTGTATTGTCCTGATGCCTAACAATGGTGCAGCTAAAAAATTGCCACTGGCAATGGTGCGGCTAAAAAATATTGTAAATAAATAAATAAATAAACTTGTCTTGTGGATAAGAAGCTACTATTAGGACAGAATACAGAGAGACAGAGTAGTTTCCTACAGGCAAAGGTGTCAGAGAAGGATGCATTTTGTCTCCTTATCTGCTCAATTATGCAGAACATATCATGCAGAAAGCTGGACTGGATTTAGATGAAGGTGGAGTGAAAATTGGCGGAAGAAACACCAGTAATTTAAGATGGGCAGATAAGACAGCAATTACTTTACCGGCAGAAAGCAGCGATTAGTTTAACCAATTTTTAGTGAAAGAAGAAAGTGCCAAAGGAGGACTGCAACTGAACATTAAGAAGACAAAAATCGTAACTACAGAAAAATTACACAACTATGCTGACAAGTAATTGAAATAGAGATTTTATATACCTTGATTAAACCGTCAGTCCAAATGGAAAATGCAACCAAGAAATCAGAAGACTGAAACTCAGGACAGCAGTGAAGGAATTAGAAAAGATTGTAAAGTGGAAAGATGTGTCACTGGAGACCAAGCCAAGATTATCCACACTTGTATTAACAATCACAGTAAAGCTATTGCCCACCCTTGCCTTCAGAATCTGACCAAGGACCACAGAGCTTTTCATCCTTTTCTTCTTTTTTGTTGGTGTAATAAAGGAACCACTCACCCTTGTCTGGATGGCAAGATTCTTTGTTGTTCTTGCTGCAACAGACTAACAGTAAGTGCCCTGTGTTGAAGAACAACTGAACAAATATTATCACTATGTTTGGGATCTACATATAGGAACATGTGAAGTTACTGTGTTTACTGAGGAGCCCATCTTAACTCAGTGTTGTATGTTCAGGCTGGCAGTAGGTCTTTCCAGCACCCTTTCTTGTTTTTTTAACTATAGGTGCCAAATTCTGGATCTGGAACTTTTGACATACCAAGCAGCTGCAACTCTTCTGCTGAACTTTCACTCCTACCCAGCTTGGAGTGGGACTCATTCCTGGGCACTCATACAAGACTGTCTGTGTATTGATGGTGCATACTGTCTGCTTCCAGGATTTCTATTAGCCAGCTATGTTATATCAGTTCACCAACATACTGAAGAGTTCTGGGTACAGTATTTGATAACACACCACTTATATGGCAGCCATATAAAATTATCAGTTTAAGTATACCAAACTGAAGTCTTCCAGTAAACAGTGGTGGTTTGTGCCCATCACTAAAAAAAAAAAAAGGTGTGCTGCTTATATACAGTACCACCTCATAGCACTATTTGGGTGGTTTACAATTTATGCAGGTTACACATTGTTCACCCCCCTGCAGTGAGATACATACTCAATTTACCTATCTCAGAAGGATGGAAGGCTAAGCGGACCTTGAGCAGGCTACCAGTGATTGGACTCAGGCTGTGAGCTGAGTTTTGGCTGCAGTACTGCAGTTTAACACATTTGTAGGAGGTTTTCTCCCATGTGTCAAATGCAAAAATAGCTTGCATGAATGCAAGAGTGATAACTGGGCCATTCATCTGATGAACAAGTGGAAATACAACTTATTATAGGTTTTTATCCCCATCCCGCTAGCTTGTAAGATATTCCAATGTTAGCATGGCTGTGCAAGATTACAGTACAGCTTGAAACCTGGTAGCCACCATGAGAACTAAGATCAGAATCACCCACATAACCTTTGGGTTCACCTCCTCTTACAATATGCTACCAATCTCATAATTCTTTTAATTTCTCTCAATATTTATGACATTGATTGTATGTATTGTGTTTTTTTCATTGTCCTTCACTTTATTTATGATATTTTAATTTGCACTTTAACTCTGATGTGGTATTATCTTGTTATTTTATGGTTTTTGTTATTGCTGTAAATTGCCCAGAGTGGCCCTGGCTGCCAGATTGGGGGGGGGGTAGACATATATAAAAATAAATAAATGATATAAAATAAAATATTTGATGCAGCTTCTGTCTGCCAGTATCCACTACCCAATTAGATCCTGTGGAATCTGGACTCTCTCTCTTCCTTTCTTTGAAATACAGCTGCTCTTTTTCCCAGCCTGTACCAGCTGCTTTCAATTCAGAAAACTGTTCTATTCAAATTTGGGAATCTTCCATACACAATATATGTTCCACATTAAGGATTGGGTTGCAGATGGATCTTTGCTGGCATTCTTGGGACCAGCAGTGATTTATAGATAGCTAGTGTGTCAAAATTATCCACAGAAAGGCCTTTATTTCCTCCAGCAGTCATCACTAACTCCTGCAAAGCTGGCTATGGAGAATAGATCTCTGAATTCACCGTGATGTTGTCTTGTTGTTACACATTAGTGCTGTGTAGTGCAGTGTGATATGTAGCTTGTAGGTTCATATCTAACCAAATATTCTCTAAATGTTTTGGATGCTCTTGGGAATATTATAAATTTACAAAATGCTATTTGAAGTCACTGAACATGGCTACAAAATGGTAATATTTGATTTAACTATTTGGCTAATTTATTTATGCCAGTTACATTTCTGTTTTATATGTTTAAACAGAAGACGAAAGAATCCCATGGAATAGGCTATTAGGATACCTAGACTCATCTGGCACTCCCAGTGTTGTGCCTGATAATGCCAGGAGAATCCCATGGAATAGGCTATTAGGATACCTCTTGCACAGATAAACCTAGACTCATCTGGCACTCCCAGTGTTGTGCCTGATAATGCCAGGAGATATTTTGTCTCTGCTGTGGGCATTGGATTAAAACCAGGTGGTGAGGGCAGCAGGTGTGGATTTGCATACTCAGTATTTAAGGACCCCCATAAGGCAGTGGTCCCCAACCATGGGCCTCCAGATGTTCATGGACTACAACTCCCAGAAGCCTTCACCACCACCTCTGCTAGCTAGGATTTCTGGAAGTCCAAGAACATCTGGAGGCCCAAGGCTGAGGACCACTGCCATAAGGGACCTGGGAGCAAAGGAATGGGCAGTCTTAACTTGGAGGCTCAGCCTCACCCCTGGTTGGCAGAGAGTCTGTGCACCTATGCTGTCTCTAGACGACTGTCACTCTTGGTTGAACTCCAGTCATTGGTGGGTTCGGATGCTGGAGGCATTTGTATTGTATTGTATTTACCTGATCCTTGAGGGAAAGTGGTCACCATGGTTTACTGTGTTTTTTATTTGTACTACTTGAATAATTTTTTGGCACATGGGAAGCATAAGACCTTCTTGGTCATATGAGGCACAAACATGCATACACTTTTCAGCATGCCCCAAAGATTACCTTTGTTGCAGGAAAAAGGAGTAGTTTAAAAGTTGCCTAGAATTTGCAACATGTTATTTCTAAGCTTTGTACATGTTACAATAAATGAGTAGCTTGGTCATATGAGTTTTTGAAAGCAGCCCCCACAAGAACATCTGAAAGTCCTCCAGTAACAACTGAACGTAACAGTTTATCCCGCTCTGGATCAGATCCTGACAAAATCAACAGGTGTGGAAGCTGTCATCTAAAACCTCTGGAGCTTCAAAGGTTTGCCACCTCTGACTTACTCAAAGCTGCTACTTGACATTGGAAGGGAGAACTGCCGGCACTAAATGGATTTTCTTCCCATCTCGTCACAGACAGCATTTTTGTCTGGACTACACAGCATGGGACAAAGAATTAATCCTCTTCTGTATGTCCTGATACACACACATACACAGATGCCCACAACACACAGTTATACTACTTGGGCCGGGGTATCTGAAGGTCCATATCACTCCATATGAGTTTTTGTGCCATTTCAAATCTTCTGGGGATGAAGCTTCTCTTGCTCTCCTCACTCCTTTGATGAAGATGCAAGTAGGGCTTTTCCAGTGTAATGTGAATGCACTCCTTGGGAAACCAGTTGATCATCTCCCTCTTACCTTCCATCATCAAACAGGTAGTTTTTTAAGTGATTTGGACAAGTGGAGGTATTAGGAATGCTGCATTGATTGAATTCAGGAAGGTGAATTTTATAACTTAAGAAGTGTTCTTAAGGGTGCTTTTAATATTAATATGTTATTTGTTTTTAATATATCTTAAGATATTTTCAATTATGATTATTGTATTGATTTAATTGATCCTGAGCCACCTTATGGGGAAAGAGGTGTAAAATATACAAACAAATGCTTAGAACACTATTGGTAAAATACATTGCCAAGTGATGCACTTAGTTTGATATATAGCTGGGTCCTCCGTTAAGGCTCAGTCTGGGACTGTGCTAAGACTGTTCATGTTTCCAAAACTGTTTATATGCCCCCATCTAGTAAAACAACTAGGATTTATAGATTTAACCATATCAAAGCAGGAGAAGGAAGTTTTATACAAACTGGAGCTATAACAACAGGACAATATTAATAGTAAACTGTAGGCAACCTTCAGTCTCGAGAGACTATGGTAACATGCTCTGAATAAAGGTCTCGGAACAACATCTAGTGTGGTTGAGAAGGCCAATTTGAGAATGAGTCCCTTCCACACTGAAGACAATTACAATCTGTCCCCTGTCCAGCTCCCTAATTTTGCTAGTTTCAGGAGTGCCTCTTTGCCTCGGCTTGCTGAACAAGGTCTCTTCAAATTGGGAGAGGCCATTCTGCACCGCCTGCCTCCAGGCTGAATGCTCAGAGATCAAGGTTTCCCATCTGTTGAGGTCCATTCCTAAGGCCTTCAAATCCCACTTTCAGATATCCTTGTATCGCAGCTGTGGTCTCCCTCAGGGGCGCTTTCCCTCCACTAATTCTCCATACAGGAGATCTTTTGGAATCCAACCATCAGCCATGCTCATGACATGCCCAAGCCAATGTAGACGTCACTGTTTCAGTAACGTATACATGCTAACAATTCCAGCTCATTCTAGGACTACTCTATTTGGAACTTTGTCCTGCCAGGTGATACCAAAAATGTGTCAGAGACAACGCATGTGGAACGTGTTCAACTTGCTCTCCTGCCATGCACAAAGGGTCCAGGACTCACTGCAGTAGAGGAGTGTACTCAGGACACAGGCTCTATAGACCTGGATC